TTGTGTAAATCTTTATATTCAAAAATATACACAAAATGTAATGCCAGTACTCCTTTAACATTTTTTAATGATTGAGATAGAATTCACATAACATAAAATTCACACTTTAAGTGCACAATCTAGTAGTTTTTAGTATAGTCACAAAGTTGTGCAACCATAACCACTATCTAATTTCAGAACATTTTTTATCACCCATAAAAAATTCCCATGCTCATTAGCAGTCCTTCACCATTCTCCTCTCCCTCTGGCCGTAGCAACCACTAATCTAGTTTCTTTATGGATTTGCTTATTCTGGACATTTCATAAAAATGGATTCATAAGATATGTGACCTTTGCATATCTGTTTTCTTTGACTTAGTGTAATGTTTTCAAGGTTCATCCATGTTGTAGTATGAGTGTTTTATTCCTTTTTATTGTCAAATAATATTCTATTGATACCACATTTTATTTATTCATTATTCAGTTGATAAACATTTGGATTGTTTCTACTTTTTGGCTATTATGGATAATGCTGCAGTGAACATTTGTGTACAAGTTTTGTGTGGACATATATTTTCATTCTGCTTGCGAATATATCTAGAGATAGAATTGTGGGATCATATTGTAACTCTGTTTAGTTTTTTGAGATGTCAAATGATTTTCCAAAATGGCTGCATCATTTTACAATCCCTCAAGCAATGTACAAGGGTTATTATTTTTCGATATCCTTGCCAATACTTCATATTTTCTGTCTTTTTTATCATGGAAGTGGTATATCATTGTGATTTTAATTTGTATTTCCCTACTGTGTACTATGTTGAGCATCTTTTCATATGCCTTTTGTATATCTTTGGGGAAATGTCTGTTCAAGTCCTTTGTCCATTTATAAAATTGGTTTATTTGTGGTTTTATTGTTGATTTGTAAGAATGCTTTATATATTCTGGATACAAATCCCTTGTCAGATATATGCTCTGCACATATTTTCTCTCATTCTGTGGGTTGTGTTATAATGTTCTTGATGGTTTCATTTTAAAGCATAAAAGTTTTTAATTTTGATCAAGTCCATTTTGTCTATTTTTTCTTTTGTCACTTCTGCTTTTAGTGTCATAACTAAGAAACCATTGCTTCATCCATGGTCAGCAAAATTTATGCCTATGTTTTCTTCTAAGAGGTTTATAATTTTAGCTTTTACATTTAGGCCTCTGATCCATTTTGAGTTGACTTGTGTATATGTTTTGAGGTATGGGTCCAAATTCATTCTTTTCTTTGTAGATATTCAGGTATCTTAGCACCATCTATTGAAAAGATCATTCCCCTTTCCCCACCCCCCACCATCGAATTGTCTTGGCACCACCCTTGTTGAAACAATTGACCATAAATGTATGAGTTTATTTCTGGACTTCCAATTCTGTTTCATTTATCTGCATGTCTGCCCTTATGCCAGTATCACACTATCTTGATTACTATAGTTTTGGAGTAAGTTAATAAGTTTTGAAATTGGAAAGTATGAGTCTTCCAACTTTGTTTTCTTTTTTCAAGATCGTTCTAGGTCTTTCTGAATTTTAAAATCAGCTTGTCATTTTCTACAAGAAAGGCAGGGATTTTGACAGGGATTGTGTTGACTCTATAGATCAATTTGGGAAGTATTTCCACCTTAAGAATATTACATTCTTTGAAGCCTAGAACATGAGATGTCTTTCCAT